AATGATTCAGGGGCACTTCACCCTGCCTGTGCCTTCTTGGACGTGGAAAAGTACTCCTACTGAACATTTGGAAGTACCATTCAAATGTAGAATGCATAGCCATACCCTCGTCATGTGACGTTTTTGTGCAATTATCATGCCACATGTAGGTTCATGGTAGGGTCACAAGAAAGTGATTGTGATGTTCAGTCGCATGCGATTCTTATGTTTTTTCTCCTTTGCAGAAATTAGAGAAGCCAGTCGAAGCAATGGGACATTACCAGCGGGCAGCCGATTTACAGTATCAGGTAAGCAAGAACCCTTCTCCTGTCCGTACCCTCTGTCAGATATCAACTGTGAAATGACAGAATTCAGTGAAACTTTGCATGTGTTGTTTCAAAGACATCCCGTGTCCAGTAAACCTGCGTAATTTCAGCTTAATCCAAGTAAGTGTTCTTTTATTTACGGTCATTGATAGTTCACATTACCTCTTGTAGTTTTCTGGACGTCTGTGTTGACAATCTATCACACTAGTATTAACTTTGATGAGACTAGTTTTAATAAAAACACAAACTGGGGAAAGAAAACTAAATAAAAGCTCGAACGGGAAATAAAAGAGTGATGGTAGCTCTGGAAAATGTCAGTTTTGTTAGAAAAGTGTAAGCATAACTGGCTAAGCAAATACTTAGTAAGCTGACACCTGTCTTTACAAACAGTATCAAGAAGTAAACAACAGTGCCACGTAATTAAAGTGATAAGCTTCGTTGAGATTACCGTCATCAAAGTCTGAATTTAAATACCATGTGTGCCTAAAATGGCTCAATTTCACCTGAGATGGTTAGCTGTTTTTTTTTGTTTCACAGAGTCCTTTGGACTGTCTTCATTCATTGGGTAAAGTGTCTTCCTGCAAGATCGAAACAGGTCAGAGACTTTTTTGACTAAAATACAGTATGAGCCATTCACAGATCAAAATTATATTCTTATTGTGATATACGTAAAGACCTATCCAAGGACTGTTTTCCTTTTTCACTGAATAGTATTTTGTCAAGATCTTGCTGGTTAGATGTCAGAAGTTAGTCAGGTCCTTTCAGATTACCTTTTGATGTCAGGATTCTTTTTTTTTTTCCTTCAACATTTTGCCTGTTAGAATAATTAGACCTAGACCCATTCACAGAAGACATCTGGCCACAACAAAGATAGCGGTTATGATATGCCCCCACATTTGCTGAAACTTAAGATAGTACTGTCCAGGATCACTGTAAATGGTAAACGGAATTCATCTGGGCTTTCCTTGTTGATTTCAGGGGATTTTGATGGTGCCCTCAGCGTCTTGACCGAGATGGAGTACTTGGCCCAGGAGAGGGGGGTGATCAGCCAGGGAGCCAAGCCCATCGGGGCCTTTTCAGATATCTTGGCTAACTGCCAAGTGTCCCGAGTGCTGCTGCTTATGTTGCTGCAGGTGGGCAGGATACTGCAGTCGCTGCACGCGTTCCGACATTGTTACTGGAGCCACTTTCGTAATGCTGAAGTCTGCTAAACATGGAATAAAAATCACGCTTAGCAGAATCAATGTACTTGCCAAAGTGCCTTACAAGGGAAATATCTCAACTGGTTCTCTGTTTAGTTTTGCTTAACACAAAGTAATATTATCTGCTTGGCAACTCGGTGAAATTGAGCCTGGTTTGGTTTCCATTGGGGCGGATCCTTAACACAAACCTTCCCAAGTGACGCTGCGTACATTGGCCATCACGGGATAACTATCGGCCTGCCGACAAGGGAAAGGGTGATACAGATGTACCCCACTCCCTCCCTCCTTCTCTCTCTTTCCCCCCATCCCCAGGGGAATAGAAATGCACATCGTACAAGATGATTGAGAAAGCATGGTTTGAATTTTTTGTTTTACCTCTTGTAGCCCACACCACAGCGCATCAGACCAGAACATGCGCAGACATTAGAGAGGTATGCATGGGAGTCAACCGAGGAGAGTAGCTTAGGTGAGAAATGGATTACTTATAAATGCCCATTTTTAAGCATGTTGAAAGAGGTGGTCTACATGTGGTTTAAACCTATACCATTCCGTATTGGTCTATCTTCCTTGTGTGGATCAGTCTTCAAAGTTTGATCCAGTTTATCTGAAATACTCTCACAAAAATTCAAAGAAAGGGTGGTTTGTTTTATTTTGCTGTTCCGGTTTCCATGTAAATGCCAGTTTAAAGTCACGCCCATCTCAAGACTTAACCTCACAGACTCCACTTTCTTAGTACAAGATGGCAAGCAGGGTCATTGTTATCTAGTTCCAGCAGAAAGGTCTTAATCTTTGTTGTTATAAGCTCAGGCTTCATCGGTATAGCAGTAGTGATGTTTAAATTATGTCTGACTGGTGTTTCCCTTTTCTACCTGCTGGGGAGTCCTTGTGCGTGAATCTAGTGAGAAGGCATCATTTTGTATGATGTATATTTCAACATCAGCCGGAAAAAAGAACCACAAAATACCTTTTTGTCAAATATCGTTCATGGCTTTATAGTACGATCAAATGATATCTTGAACAACTGTCTTTTATTTCTTTTCAGTTGTTGAATGTTTGAGTGAGGAGCTCTTCCTTCTAATGCAGTCCATGGTGGTGAGTTTATTCAATTTTAGTCAAGATTACCAATTAAAATTATTCTGTCATTTCATATATACATGTAATGGAGGTGTCAATAGAAAGTGCGTAACCAAAAAAAAACACAAGGATGACAAGGATAGTTCTTATTTTCCCATGGAATGAAAAATGCCGAGAACTGTTAGTTGTTGCGACAATGAATCGCTGTCTTCATTTGCAATTTTTAAAAAATGGACCAGTTTCAGAGTTTTTCAGTGGGAAACTGGAATTTTTGTTCTCTTCCATTGAATTTGAATTTTGATATCTTGACTTTGACAGATGGCTTGCCAGTCCAGGGATATCAACTCATTACAAGCCCTTCAGGCTGATCTCTGGTAAGCTCGGTTGTTGGTCAGTCTGTGCATTTGTTTGGATGTTTGAAATGACCTTGTGTGCATCTTTCTATTTATTTGATGTCAAGCTTCTGTATTAAAGGCCTGAAGATATTTATCAATGGAGACATAAGATTTGTTTATTGCTCGAGAGAAGAAGTTTTTAAACTGTTGCTATCTACTTTTCAGCATTGCGTTTCTGTATTGCATCCTTATAAACACCAGACATGTAGCTTCCTACTTCTGTGAATGTACACGTCGGTATCCATTTGATGCAACATTTTTGTTTGGAGTAGGGGAGGAATCTGCTAATTTTAACAAATCTTCAAGGGATGTAGGAGAAAATAATTCATGAAGTTGATCAGAGGTTGTGTTACGTTGTGATGATATTGACACCGAGTCTGAATTGATTCAAATCAATAAATGTGCAGTCTTGCCTGAGGGTTTATATGCACCGGAGCAGAATACAGTCGACTTCCATTTTCCCTGTTTTGCCAACAGTAATCATCAGTTTTTTCGTACCTATAGTGCTTTCAGCCTTTGCTCTTTATTTCTGCCCAAGTTGTCTGGAACATTTTCACTTGGGGTGACTGTATTCACAATAGCAGTCGCGGTGTGACGAAACCTAGTGTATCAAGAAGTTAGACCAAGACGATTTGCTGCATGATTGGCTTTGGAAAGGCCTAGAATATTCTGAGTGACTTGCAATCACTTGCACTGTGTCACCACTTCAAGCCCATTATAACTGTTATGTAATAGGTCAGTTTGTACCCACTGCATTAAGGTTTTTGAGCCAGCACAGGGAAGGCAAAGGAGCAGGAACTGTACATGCACCATTGGTGTAGTATTTTGTTCAAAATATGTACTACATGTATAATGCAAAGCCTAATTTGCATATTTTGGTATTAAGTCTAATCCGTGTGAGTTTTATCCAGATCATTCCTGTGTTAGGGGAATTTCTCTTTGAATTAAAATCTACAATGTTTGCATTTGTACTTTTACAGGAAGCATCTGACATCAGAGCAGAACCATCTTCTTCATCTTGTCATTAATAAACTCTCCCACGCTGACCAAGAGACTACATACGAGTAACTGTCATGGATGGGAATGGTGCCCTGAAATCTGCCATCTAGTGACAGGGAATTGCCACCTGCTTCTTGAAAGGAGTCTCTTGGAACAAAAATGAACTCTTGAAGTGAATTGAGCCACGTCTGAATGAAGGCTGCGTTGAAGGGTTGCGGCTGCTCATCGTAATGCTCCAATGGCAAGAGCTGAAGTCACAGCCACAGAATATCCGGTTTGGAGACAGCCTCACAGAAATTTTTAAAAAAAGCAGCATGATATGAAACCCTCCTTGATGCATCAAGGAAGTCACTTTATTGTATTGTAGCCCAAAGCAGACTTCAGTAGATGGCAAACACACTGAAACAAACCAAGAAAAGGGTAAAACAGCACAATTCTCCACGGGTTACTTTGGACGACAGTTAGATAGGATGTATAAAACACACCTCAAAAATGCACAAATATTAATATGACTAATCCAGATTTTGAGCCCTGTCTATTTTTTAGTTTTATCGGAGAGCTTAGTTGAAAACAAGTATGATTTTCACTGGCTGAATTCTTCTAGTTTAGAAAAGCGGCGTTTTCAAAAGAACACTGTAACTCATAACACCAAACGCCTGCCCTATCAAACTACCAACTTTCGTTGTTCCAGCATTTTCTGTTAAAAAATAAAATCAGGGGCCGCTGCTAGTGTTTCTCTTTCACTTCCTGGCATTGAAAATGCAGAATGTAATAGAACAAAACAGGTCAATAGGTGACATGAAAGCAGAAACTATTCAAGTCACAATCAATGGCAAAGACAGCTTCCTTCACGTCATTTGGCTGTTAAGTTTAGATTTCTGTTTGTTGAGAATACATGCGATCAGTTTCGTGTGGCCCCAGTGTTTGCTGACGCAAGATTTTAGAAAATTGGATTAGAAATGAATACGCCTTTGGTCCTTCACAGCCAAATAAGGTAATTTTGATTCTTGATGTATTCACATGAGCAGACACTGTTTATGCAAATGAATGCAGAAAAGTAACCAATCAAATACAGAAGGATCTATGGCTTCAGAACGGTATGCATTTGTGGCAGTGGTGCCCTTCATGCACTTTGCACTAGGCCATCTGGAAGTGTGCAAAGTGAGGAAGCAGTGTTATATTCAACATAAAGGGAAAACCGGCATCCACTTGATGTCAGCAGATTTTTAATCTGGATCTTTGTGCAGATGAACACCCAAAACACCCGTCTGAAATTATCTCTAGTGGAAAACTTGCAGAAGGGAAAAAAGTGGAAAGGAATGGTCATTCCTGAACGATCAGCCGTCCAGTTTTTCTGTTCATAGTAATTATTGCATCAGACTGGCAAATACAAACAAATGTTAGTAAGTCAAAACAAGTCAGAAAACACATGCCTCCCTTTGAACTGGTTTGAAATTAACCGATTGGTTTGGTTTTGCTCAGGCAATCCAATGGGATGAGTCGGAATTAAGTCCTGACCTCAATACCTCTTCACTAGATGCCAACAAACCTTGAAAATCAGTCATGGGCCCTCTTTGGCTCAACTTGCAGACCTATCAAAAGGGGGACTAATCCCACACAATGGTACCATAAACTTCATGCAAATTCAGAACTCACCAAGGAAAGTGAAGAAACTGCGACAGGGTAGTATGTGTTCCCAACATTGAGTCCGGTACTGTAACACACTTTCGCCAGATGCAAGTTTTGGTTTCATTTTAACCAATGTATGAGTGCAGTATACGTGTTTGAAAAGCATTTCCATAACTTCTGGAGTCAGTCAACGTGCAGAATGCAAATAGGCATATACACTACTCTCAGCACACAGTTCAGCCATGTCTTCCGAGCTGTATGTTCTGCTATGCTCAAATTCGGTATTTGTTCTCGATGAATGCAATGGAACAGTCATAAAAGATGATGCAGATATCTCACAAGCTATGGACGACTACCAGAACAAACAGGAAATCAACATCATCATAAAGGATGAGGCTGCCCGGTGCGTGGCACCAGTCGGCCTCTTGTTGAATTTGGTTTTCCTGTTTGTTGTGGCACGTGTCCCGTCCATGCGCTCCGTTGTCAATGTCTACTTGGGCAATTTAGCAGTGGCAGATGGCGTATTTCTCGTGGGGGTGCTCATTTCAAGATCATGGCCTGATGGTAGCTCAGTGTTCAGAGCAGTTCGAGGGTGCATTTGTGCTTCCAGCAATGTGGCATCTTACTTTATTGTAATGGCCCTAGCTGTTGAGAGATTCTATGCTGTGTGCCGTCCATTGACAGTGAGAGCTGAATCCAGCAAAGGGTTAGCTGTTAAAAGACTGGCTCCAGTATGGATTATTGCCATCATCACAGGAAGTGCATTGGATTTGACATGGCGTTTGGAAGGCCAAACAGTAACGCTGAACATTGTTTCATTTCTGCTCTTATTCATGTACATGGCTGGCTTAATCACTGTTACTTCCCTTTACACTTGCATTGTCAAGAAACTGCGACAAACACCAAGGATGACATCAACTGCTGATGAACAACAGCGGCTGCGGAGAGTAGTCTTCATGGTCATCGTAAATACTGCTGTGTTTTTCCTCCTGAATGTCTCAACCATTGCAACTCTTCTAGCACTGATCATTTTGAACAACCCAGATGTTTGGTGGGACCTCAAAGCCTTACAATCACTAGAAGATTTGGAAATGGTTAGGTTCATCTTGCACCTGATCAACTGTTCAGTTGATCCCCTGGTTTACAGCGGCATGAACCCAGATTACAGGGCAGCCTTTGTGGAGGCATTTTCATGCCTCTGCCCCAAGTGCACTTGTAACTGGCATCTTCAAGATACCCCAAAGCAGGCAGGGGAGAAGAAAGAACGACACGAATTCCAAAGACAAAGTTCCTCAGAAGAGATAGAACAGCCGATTGAATTGCAAGAGATTGTCCCCAGCCAAGATACAGTTCAAGAGACAACAGAGCCAAAAGAAGTACAAGGTGAAGATAACCCACTACATGCAGCCACAGTACAGGTTGATCTGCAAGAAATCCACCGAGGTCAAAGTGAATTAATGCCCAGTGGGCTCTCTGTGTTATCAGACAGGGTGTTTGTTACCTAGTAACATCATCCAACTAAACTGTATCAAATCGGATATGACCCCATTGACTGCTACTGTGCATGCATCTATACACATCTGGTGCATTTTTTATTGCTGATAAGTTCTGAGCCGATTTGCTTCTGTACTGATAATGTCTTGCGTTATGAACAACCAGGATGTGTTGACCTGACAGAGAAACCATTACTACGGAGGCACCACATTTGAGCATGGGTCGTTTAAATGACATGACTCTTTTGCCTAAATGGATACCTTTAAGTAAAAGGCATTGAATGTTGAGGTGCATGAGTGTAATGCATCAAAGTGATGTTGCTTCCTTAAATTAAAGGCAAGTTCAGGCGGCAATTATAGTTCAACCAGTAGCCAATTTCTTTTTAACTGCGCATGCGTAATTTAGTTACAATTTAGTTTAAATCTCATTATTCACATTTCAACATTGGCTGCGATTCTCGCAGCATGCATAGTTATTGAAATCTCGTAGTTATTTTCATGTGAATGGTTCCCTCTGTAATGACAAATGAAATTTGGTATTGATAACCATACCCCTGGGCTTGGTTCCAAATGGTCGACTAGTTAATTCAAAATATCCATCATTCAAGCAGCATTAGTCAAACTTTAGTTTTAATTAACTATAGTCATCGCTTGAACTTGCCCTGATCTGTAGAATTAGAATTTAGAATTTTACCAAATCTCTGTGAAATTTCTTGATTGGAGTTTCTCATATTTTGCAGATATAATAGGTATATAAAGATCTGCAGCATGAATACATTTTTTCAGCAGACTGTCTCCATAAAACAGTTTTCCGTAAAGAACATGAACATGTTTTTTTGTTTTAAGTTACACTGAGCACTCATGTGAAAGTGTCAAATTTATCCAGTGTAAACCGTAGCAGGCCTACTTGAATTTGTATGGCCAACGGAAACCAAGTCAGTGTAAATGAACACAGAAGTCAGAAAAATGAATTACATGGCACAAGTAATTTCCAGTTGACCTACAGTTTACCTGAATAATTTTGCAACTCAACCTTTGAAGACAAAAATTATATGACCAATCGCGAACCATGGAAATACCTTGTCTGGATATTTTATTGTCACAATGTTCTGTGTGAACTATTTTCTGTTTGTATACTGGTCATGTTTACTACTTAACACAAAAAGGGTATTTACAAGAACTGTGTAAACTACATAGCTCACACTCCATGTTTATTATCAATGAGGAAATTCCAGATACTCGATTTGTCCAAAATGTGCAACTGGTTGCTAGTCTTATTTCCAGGAGTCAGCCCACTTCGATTAATGGCTGGAAGTTCATGTACTTCTTGCCGTATTTCAATAAGCCACGCAGTAATATTGGAACTATGTCAATATGTTGCCATTGACTTACTCATTAAATTACTTTTTAATTTAGAATTCATGATTTCTGAAGCACACAAAGAGAGCCTGTACAACAAACAATGATATTTACAAGTCAGTGTTGTATGATTGTTTTAAAAAATTATCTGTACAAAATTTGTGTAAAGACACCAATTTATCAAGGTACACATAATGCATTAGATTTAAAATAAATTTATTTTAAAGAGATCTGAGTTTCTGAGGACATCCCTCCATTGTGTGGCATTCTCAGTGTAGAAGGGGCCAGAATGTCTTTGCCTCATGGGAAAATTCTGACTGGAGGGTGGATTTTCGACATGCATAACTAACAGTGAATTAAATGCAAGTTACCAGAGAAATGGCGCATCTCAACGACTGGTGGGCTTTTTTTTCTTAAATAAGTACATGTAATGAAGGTTGTAGACAGCATGGGAATTGACAAAAGGAGAATGTTATGAAATGGTAATGAAAAAATAATGGTAAGAATTGTGCCAAAAGAACATTTATTTATATGCATCAGAAGATCTCTTTCCCAGGCCATATGTGACCCACTCTGTTAAAATGAGTCTTAAGTTGCCAAAGCCTTGTTGGAATAAAAAGTCCTTTAGAATAATTTTGCACAGTGTAAATCAATAGAAACCCACAGCATTTTCACCATGGAGTATCCACTTTTATCGGGATGCCAAACTGAATGATACATCCAAACAAACACTCAAGTTATTCTTTCCAATACAAATGAAAACTCAAAAAGTGGATCTGGCGACATATGACTCATTTTCACAGAGCAGGTCACATATTCAGTTTTGGGCCCGTTACTGTTATTTTATCTTCTCTTTATTTAAAACAAAAACATTAAATTCAACGTTAACAATTGTAGCAGATGTTTCCATGAATACAAACCTTTGATTACAATTTTAAATATCATTTGATTCACACAATATTGTTATAATGCAAACTGCAACTCCAAACATTTCAGCCAACAATTTGGGGGAAACAAATTTATGGCAGACAAACACGGACACTCCACTTATCAACTTGCATACATATAATTATGCATTACAGTAATTTAAAGTGAAAGCACTATACAAATTGGAGACAACTCAACAGACGTAAAGAAACCAAATGCACAAAAATCAATTTACATTAGGGCAAGACATCTTGGAAAAACTATCACGGGGTAACCATTTCACTTTTGAAATATCCAATTACACAGCATTTGTGGCACGTGATTGTTCACACTCATAATCTTACACCATCATCAAGGTCGTGCTTTCTGTGCATCTAGCCATGCGGTTGCTGACATTCTAGTCACGTGTGAATACACCACGAGCAGCCTTTTTGTATTTCCGGTACAGGATGTCAATCAAGGCGACTTGGTTTTCTGTATGTTTTCACTGTGAGCTTTCTGTTAGTGTGAAGGAAGCAAATATACAATTGAAAGGCATAAATAATAGCCACTTGATATTCCAATTATAATATTGTAATTCTTACATTGACGGTCATCAATGATGTCCGGATGAAAAAGTGAGACCTTCTAACACCTTTCCACCTCTGATTTACCTCAGTTCAATCCCCACCCGGTATCCAGGGACAAAGTAGGGGCCTTTTCCTGTCCACTCCGAGCAGGAACAAAAGAGGGCGTGTTTTTAAGTGAAATTGACGGTCCTTTGGAACGAACTCACGGCATAGTTTACGTGCGATTAACACTGAGCACGCTGAGTACACTTAATGAATTTGTTCTGGAATGTATGGTTCTTTGCGGGCACGCCGAACACGTGCAATAACCCGGTTGGAAACCTTCATACCATTCTTTCTTTCTTTTTATACCGGTGAGGGTGCACTTCAACTCGGGGTTGACAGGGAAGTGCAAGGCGGGCATCAGTATCCTTGACTACAAGGGCCTTTCTTGCCATGTGATCACAGATAACTTCAATTTTTTGTTTGGGGCAATATCAATTACTGCATTGTGCAGACAGGCAACTAGGAGGCATAGCAGACATTATTGGGGGAAGAGACCTGTCCCCTGACCTCTGGTGTATCACCATCCTTGAGCTCTAACACTGTAGGTGCACATGCAAATTGGGTTTTTTGGATAAGTAGGGGTTTTTCCCGCCGCATTAACTCTTAAGGATATCTTCTCATATTCAAGATTACTCTTTCTCTTGGAACTGTAAAAATCACACTTACTGCAAACTTGGAGGTAAAAACAGAGAAGATTCCAAAGAATGCATCACTCTCGGTGGTAGCAGGTTCCTCACCAAAGTACTGCGCTGTCTTCTTGAACTCTTCCTCAGCCTTGGCATGCAGGCTCTCGATGACTTCAAGGCGATCTCTCGCTTCATCTGTGAAATTCTGTTTATGTGATTCGGTTACGGAAATATCAAACTCAGAATGTCTGTGGGGAGACGACGAAGATTTGGGGGGGGTCAGAAATGAATGGCCCCAGTGCTTTTACACTACAAACTCTAGAGTGACTTTTTTTTTTAAAAAGGATACATCCATGACTTCCATGAATCTGTCATCAGGGAGTCGCGTCATGTCCCCAGGTTCCAGCTTGTCAATATCCAGCACCAGATCCTGTCAAAAATGAAAATGGCCCAGATCAATCAGATTAAAGATACTTGTTTGAAAAAAAACTAATCATGAAAATGATGAAACGTTGGTATCATGCATGAAAGAAATGTGCATTTATACAGCTCAGCACTTTTCAAGAACACTGTGGAGAAGAACACTTACCTCAAACCTGAGACCCTCTGCTTACTGGCACAGAAATCTTAACCACATAAGCAAGCCTGTGGGAATCACCTGGCCAGTTCAAATCCAAAATGGCAGCACATGCGAGAATCAAATTTTCAAAACTGTCCACCCACGGTGGTTGATCCCCTGCTCCATTCCACATTGAAAACCAAGACATGCCAAAATCTTACCTCGAGTTTATTTTCGACCTCCTTGAGTTCGTCGTTCACCATTTTCAGTGACACTTTATTTGCCTTGGGCACCATAGGCAGCTCATCTCCAAAGGTTACGACCTCTGGCACATTGGTATGCACAGCCTTAGCAACAACGTGGAGGAACGTGGATTTATTATCTGCTGTTTTGGTTGTGTCCAGCTACATAAAATGGGAGAAACACAGGTCTATGTCAATGATTTTCAAAACATAAAGTTGATTGCATAATTTTTCTTTATTTTTGAATGCAGGATGTAACAGAAAAAAATCAGTCTACTTCAAAACGTTAAATTCTTTAATCTTAACACTAGGCTTCCTTTTGAAAAACTTTAAACATCTGATTTTTATCCACGATTCTGAAATTTTTGAGTTTTATGGTTTCCAACAGGTAAACGCCCAAGTAGACAATTACGTTACTGCAATAAAAAATAAGCAGTTGTCAACTTCAGTTATGGTTAAATGATGACCTTGACCAATCAGACTACAGTAGTTTGAGTTGTAGTTTTATCAGTATAATAGTAGACCTCCGAAATTTTTTGGGTAGTAACAATACAGCCTGGTGTCCTGTGGATTCTTCCCTGGGTTTACCTCAGTCAGGAAGGTGATTCTGAAGCCTGTTGCTCCAGCAACTCGCTGGTTACCTTTGTTCATGTAGTTTCCCATGGCCAGCACCAGCTAGAGAAACAAGGCACAGAATGTGAATCGGTCATGGATCCGGCATCCAGAGAAATGGGGGAAGGCATTCAGCCGTTTGGAAAGAGGAGGTGGAGGTGGATTTGGGGTGGTATTGGAACAAAGAGGTGAGACTTTTTTGTCATCTGAGCCAAAATTTCGGACTTTCAAATAATTTGAATACGTGGTTGAGAACAAAGCGAAGGACAAGTACATCCCATCAACATCTCCACACCAAACAAGAACGGGGGGTGGGAACAGATGTCCTCTTTTGGACCTACTAAAGTGAATCACCGTACTTGAAATTCTACCAATACAAAATTTGTCAGTACCAAATATATGCAACTTTGTGAAATAATCAAATGTTATAACATCCCACTCCTTATATTCTACTACATTACCTCCAGGACTTTGGCCAGTTTCTGACTGCCGCGTAGCTCAATGGCGGCCTGCTCAATCACCTTCAGCAATTTGGATATCTCCTCCAACTTCTCATCAAAGTTGGACTTGAACAGCAGGCTCTCTATGCGTAGCTTGTACCCTGGTATCTGGCTCATCTGAGAGACACAAAGAGAAGGCTGGTTCACGATGAAGCAGAGTGAAATACCAGAATGGCTGTTTTTTCCATATTTTCAATTTTTGCAACATGCTTATTGATCGATCAGTGACCTGTCAATTCAGGTTTCCTGTTTCCATCGTTGACAGGAAAATGCAATCCATGGAGTTGCCTATGGCCACGCATCACAGAAACTGCATAAGTTCTTAGTTCCTAAATCATGCCAAACTAAAGTTGACATAGACAAAGGTTGATAAGGAAACACCGACTGCCAAAATGGTCAGCTTTGGTGCTGTATTTGGGGTGGAACAAATACCCTGCAACAGTTATTCTGTTTAGGTTCACACCACAAACAAATGAATTATCTTAGGCTAGAAACAGGCATCCAGTGCATTGCATTTCTTCTCTCCTTTCTTGTAACAAAGGTGCAGATTCAGCAGGTCAATAAGTTTTACGTTTGGCGCATTGCGAATGGTAGAGATGGAAGTTTGTTTGTCCCCTGCCAGGTTTTTTTATAAAGAGGAGCTGTAACTGGACAAGACATTGTACCTCGTAGGCAAACTTGTCGGGTAACGTCAGCTGGGAGACTCTGTTGCTGTACTTCTTCAGCTTCTCAATCTGGGAATGTTTGAGAAACGTCAAAATTACATCAAGCTCATTTGAAGGGTTTGAACCTGAAAGTGGCAGCAAAAGTAGTGAGCCAAGTTGATGGCAACTCGGTTGCCTTTTTGGGTTTAGTTGACAGCATACCTCCGTGGTGTCCGGTGCATACAGCGACAGCTGCTGTAGGTGTGATGTGGAGATCCTGTCTGTCTTCATCTGCAGAATGTCCGCCTTGATGTCATCAATGGACAACCGTAAGTGGCCTAGGAGGAGCGCTGTTTTACAAAGGAAAAAAAAAGCAGTTGGAAACAATTGGTGTGATCATGTTAAAGACACCTATTTGTTCTATAGAAGTTCAAAAGAATCTGGAGGCTATCAGTGTTAAATTTTACATAATTTAGGAGTAACAGAAGCCATGCAGGGGGGCTAGGGGCACTTGCCCACTGACAACATTTGAAAAAAAGATTAAAGGGGTAAAAAGAAAAAGGGGAAGAAACAAAAAGAGAAAAAGATGAAAAGGAAAGGGGGAAAGGGGATAAAGATCACCAGTTTACTTGAAAACATCTAAGAATTTACACTTCTGTCTTCAGAAAGAACTTCAGAATGATCATGACTGCAGGGCGATGTATGTTTGTTCAAATGAGCAAAAGGCCTTTTTAGAATCCAAAGGAATTACCTGTGTTGTGGGCCTTTTTGTGGTTTATGACTGCAATTTGTGGTTTCTTGTCCCTAGGAGAAGCTGTCAAGGAAAGTAAAAATTTACTATTAAAGCCAAAGCAAAAGTACTTGACATATTTGACAAGAAAATAAGTGATGAAATTGAAAAGTTTGAAGTCTCTTCCATGCTTCAGAGTGACACTGACTTGTTGGTTAAAATTAATTTCTCTTTTAATATTAACATTGACACAATAATGCAGAGATGTGTAGTCTGTTTCATGTATAAAATGTAAGCTTCAACGCTAGTATCACTGAGCCTCGCTTTTCGCACATCATGAAATACATATGACTTGGCAGCCAGGCATTGTATTCTTCACAGTGCTTTGGGCTCAGGGGTGAAAAATAGAGACCTTACTTTTATTTTTGTTTTTGACGCTGAATTTTTCTTCCAGCTCCAGGCGCTTGATGACATCCGATAAATAGTCCTCTCCTTCACCAATCTAATAAACAAAAGCACACTTGGGGCATTCAGGAAAATGTCAAGTCTTGTGAATAGTACCTTAGTTTGTCAGAATTATTTACAAATACGCGGTATTTCTCACACTCTTGACAAGACGTTGCATCTTAGCTTGTTGAATACAGGTATGAATGTATAAAGCAGCCTCTGACTGAAAAAATATGCAAGAAATTTCAAAGTAATATTTGGGTTATTTGAAAATCTCACACCCCAATCCACGACCAAGTTCACATGATCTCGTGGCAGGCTTGCTCCAATTCATTTTAGGTTTCAGCTAACAATCCTAGCCACCTGTAAACAGATGTCATGAGTGAACTTTGACTATATACATGCAGATAACACCCCGATGATAAGTTTATGTTGACAGAATATAATGTGCAGTCATTTCATGGCTCAGGTTGAGCATGGATGAAAGGCATTGTCCTGGGTACCGACTGGAATTGTGACAATTCTTAAGTGGGACACATGAAAACTGCGTAAAAGAAGGTCGCCAACACACTCGGAGCCAAATGTACATGTAAGTAAAGCGTGCTGACACTTGAGCTGTTGCTTACGTACCCCACTCCATACAGTATTCTCTGTAGCCTGTAGCTTTTCCCAGTTTAACCGCTTGACCGCCATCTTGCCCGGCTGCCACGATGAGCTGTTATTATTGACCTCTGGCAAAGGCGGGGCCGGGGGCGGCAACGGGGGCGGGGGTGGTGGGGGAGGGGGCGGTGGAGAACTGGGCCGCTGCAGCTGTCGCTGTCGGGATGCGCTACTGTGGACGGAGGCATGGGAACTGGAATGCTGGGACGAGAGGGAGTAGTGGCTGCTGGCATGGGATATGAAGCTGCCTAGTGGGGAAACCGGCCGGCCGTTGACAGGAGTGGAGCTCACAGGGTGGGGACTGGGCCTGAGCTGCTCACCACCGTCCCCTGATGCTGGTGGGACACCTCGGCCGTTGACAAGAAATGAAGTGTTATTGTTGGTATTGAATCCCGGATGGGTGGTGGAGTGTGTCTGAATAGCAGAGCTCTGTATGGACACCGAATCTTCATCCGAAAGCATGCTTGTAACAACTGTGAACAAAAATGCAAGTTCTTTCAGTGTGTCAAACACACAGTTTCTTCCATTACCTGTAAATGCATGGCAAATTAACAGCACTCTACATCAATGATGTGAGCAATTTTTTAGGTGGATGAATTTTAATAAAAAAAGCAATTGATGTTATTTTGATATCTTTACAATGCAGGCATGGAACTATTTGTTTCCAAGATAAACAATTACACTCATCAATAAAACAACTTGAAAATGTTAAAAGTCATGCAGGCATGCACATAAACAATGATTTATGGATAACAGAAAATGACATGGTAAATTAATTGGCCTTATTTTCCAAACAATTTCCCTTGTACAGGTAAAGGCACACGGTTCAGAACTGGAAACTCATGCAGCTACAAATGCATACTCATGCACTACTTGAAACAGCAATATGTATCCTAAGAGCAGTGGGCCAAAGAGCCAAAGGTGTGGGCTCTAGCAAAGCAGCGTACACAGACAGACTGCACATGACATCAAAATGCCGTCAGTTCAGAATGACATCAATAAAATCACGTATCATGATGGCAAAATTATGCCCAAGTGCAACTCGGTATTTGCTCGCCCAATTCGGAGCATCGCAAAAAGAACAAAAAAAAAAAGGGCACGAAAAACAAATGGCCACTGGCTTGAAGTCAAAACAATAGCCAGACGTTGCGCCACATGTTTTACCTTCAAGTTGTTCGGGGTTTACAGTATACAAACTGCCCCGTTTTCGCCTATCGTGGGCCTGGGGGGCAGAGTAGACCCCCGATGTGGTCTCATCATCTGGGGTGCAGGAGTGGCGCATCTTGGAGGGACGTTTTCCGTGATGGGGCGGCGGTTTGCGAGGGGCAGGGTGGTATTGGCGATGGTGATGTTGGGGGTAAGAGTTTTCACTGACAGAAGGGTAGTCGGTGAAGTCTGTCTCAGCCTCGTCTGTGATTAGTTGAATAAATTGGAGGCACGGAGGGGAGGGGAGGGAGAACGAATGGAATGACAGGTGGGAAGGGATGATGAAATAACATGCATATCATGCACAAATATCATTTGGTGTTCATTTCAAACTATACCACACCCACTACTTAAAATTGCAAAGAAAGATTAAGTGTCACACTATTTTTTTTTTCTCTGGTGTTGGAGAGAGTGTCAAGAATGGAGTAATTTTCTTAGAAATGCAATTCACGCTAGTAATGAAATGAGAAGGAATGAAATCAATAATTGCCTTTTAAATCATACAGTTATTTCTAATGCCAATTTTCAGTTAGATTTTCTACATGCATGTAAACAAGCAGAACATAGGCAAATAAGCAGCAAAACACGGCACACAGATGACGGGGGAAAAAGGGTATGTCTGCCAAAAATCACAAGGTATTGTCATTTTTCTTAATATGTGCAGCATACCCAGCATGCTCAAAATGTTGGAGCAGATAGATCACTGACAACAGAACAGATGCCCTATTATCCCCATTCATGAATGCCATTTAAGTAACACAAAGTCACGACTATCTCATGAATTCTGTATACCACTTCCTTAACACATTGACGCTGTGCTTATATTGTACAAGTATTACGAATGCTCATTTAAATGAACTCGATTATAAAATAGTTATTATGCGGGATTAAAATTGATATTTTTACCTTCGCTGAATCCAGGCAAATACATGCCATGCAGAACTCTTGGTTGTCCCTCTGGCGTAGCTGGCGTCAGTAACAAGAAAGAATGAAGGGGAAAAGCCAAGCATTAAAGGCCACATTGCGCACTACGAAAACAGAGGGATCACAGCCAGTTCAATCTCAACTGTCCCACGTTTTACATGCCTGTACAAAGCAAAACGTTGCCCGAATCTAAGTGTGACTTATTTCAAAACTGTCAAATTAACAGTGATATGTACATCAAAATTTCTGCTAAAACATCCGAGCAGCAGCTAATTTCAAACATTAAATCACACACTTCTTTGGAACTGATCTGGCTCACCTCTGTAAAGATGGTTTGCATAGAACAGGAGAATTTTAAATACAGGAATTTAGCGACATAAATTTGAGGTGAATGTCGAGAATTTAGAATACCCTGTGACCTGACAAAAGTCGATTTGATGAACATTCCATCAAGATGTTTGAATCGAGTAATCATAAAAGCCTTCAGAGGGAAGATTAGATATCACAATCACAATGAATCAAAATTTTTGGATGTTAACATGTATGTGAAAACCAACTCCACAGAACAGTAAAAAAAAAAAAAAACTCATGGACATTGACAATTGTCTGCTTCTACAATGAAGCAAGTAGTAAAACAGCACAGAGAAACATTTTTACCGAACTATTTGTGATGTCTTATGCAAACCATCTACATTGCGCAATGACTGACCTCTACTCACTACACTACTGCAAGCTCAGTTTTCATCTTTTTCTAGTTTGCTTCACAAAGTAGAATATTTACCACAAATATGACAATTTGTTTCAATTTCTTTGGAGTTATCCTTTTATTCAATGATTTGCTTATCAGAACTTTAAAATATGTTTTATTTCATTAATCAGTAAAAATAGGTTTTAAGGTATGTATCCTTTTTTAATTTCAAAATTACGATTTCTGTACACAGTAGATGGTTTAAGTAAGACACCACAATCACAACATATTACAGGCAGACATATTGTACAACAAAGTGCTCCACTGTAATTCCCTGTTCAAAATGACCTGGGCAAAATCAACAAAATGATTTCAGACAATGATTCAAAATCAAATGCTTAGCTCCTCTCAAACTATGATACCTACATTTTTCTGTACAAAATATTAACTGCCCACCGAAAAAGCCATGACCTCTGATAATTGATGTAATGATTTTATTTGGGGCTTTTGGATTACAGAAAACTACTTTTAACGAGTGAAAATGTCAGTTTTTTCATGAGGGAGGGGTTGTTAGTTTCCCAAGGCAAACATCAGAATCTTACGATGTGACTCTTGAATGTATGAAATGATTCTTTTCTCTCCAAAATATCTACATTCAGAAAGCCTTTCTCAGTGATTTCCACTTTTGAAATTATACCGGTCCTGACCCATTCCATCCCAAAGACAGAATCTCAACTTGCATCTTAGGAAATTGTTCCAAAAACTAAGACAGAGGTTCCTCAGTAAGCAAGTTCACTCCATCACCAATGAAAAACTGATGGATCGGAAACCAATTAATGCCCATTACCATTTACCTACAATACAACTTAATGACATTTAATATGAACACAAACAAATCAGCATTTCATTTATGTAGGACCAACTTATATACTGAGCTGCGTAATTTGTTGAGGTATTCTATGCAAAATATACACAAATAAGCAAAGTCTTAGATGACAGCTCGGAAATGAGAATGAAAGTTTCTTTTTACAAGTACATCACACTGACTGTTCTGGACACAAAGCGGGATGACAACACCAAACAACGTTAAATACAACACATACAAACACTTCCAAGAAAATTACCCCTTGAAATAACCACAAGAATGTACTCCTTCCATACACACTTATGAAATACAATGGGAGGTGAAACTGGAAGGACTGATGACAATCAAAATCCATGCAGTCATAGATCAAAGGTCACTGCATTTCATTCCATGAGATTAGACAATAATGACATGTTTTAAAAAGCGGACTGTTGACAAATTGTCCAACCAAACAGGGCCTGGGTCGGGACAAACCCAACCTCCCTTTCCACTTCCCAAAGGTGACAATCCTGAATGAATGTATTGTTTCTCATAAAACACTACATTTAATGGAGGTTACTTAGAAAAATATCCCTTCCCCAAAACATCTTGGATCTGCCCCCGTTTGGGCTTACCCCTGCCCATTTTCAAAACTGTTTCCCCGCCCATGTATAGAGGCAAAAGGATGTTTGACATGCACATGAACTTTCAAAATCACATTTTGAGGTGACACAATACTCTAAACCTACAATTTATGTAAAAATACTGATAATCATAATTTCAAAGAATTCAACATGATACATCCAGAAAAGATTCAGTTTAAACAGTGGATTAACGTCCACTAACCTGCCAAAAGACTCACTGCAAACACTGCCTTTTTCTTTCTATTTTACACGTCATAAAAAAGTGTTTTATACTTCATAAAACTTGGTAGTCGCAAGTTAGCAACACTCTCCTCATTAGTAAATGCATCAAACCAGGCAGTCAGGTTTAGTACATAAGAAGATCTTCGGAACCATAGTTACCTTCATCAGATGGGGAGGTGGGAGAATAGTCCCCAGGGAAATCCTCGGGATAATCCCGGGGTGGATAATCCCTCTGATAATCCCGTGGGATGGGATAAACATTGGGATCACCGGAGAGCACGTTGGTGTGGCCATGGATCCTGGGGCCAGTGCCATAATAGTAGGCCATGGAGGGGTGGTACCGCGGGTCATAATAATAGTCGTCGTAATGGTGATGCAGTTCCTCCCCGACACTGCGTGTCCGAGGCCGGCGCCCTCTGCTGGGCTGTTGCCACTCGTCCCTTCTTCTTCTTGGCAAAGCACCAACACTACAGGGTCGGGGCAATGGCTGTCTGGGAGCGTTGCGAGTGTCACGTCGGGACTGGCGCTCATACCTTGGCCAGTCGTCGTATTGTGAGTACTCATCGGGTGAGGGCTGTCGCGAGTACCTTGGGTGGCGAGGGTAGTCAGGTGTATCAGGGAAGGAAGGGTGGGGGTAGGAGTCAGGGGCATGGTCCTCTGGCGGGGTGCGGTCTGGTGCCAGCCCTGTCGTGCACAAGGAATGACCGTTGTCAAGTGTTAGTTTATCATGCATTAATAAGCATGAGTTATCATGCAGCAGTGATATGTACAGTATGTTCGAGACATGCGACAACACGCATCCATGTAATAACAGATGACAGCATGCCGAGTCCAGAAAAAAATCACGTGCAATTTGGCGACAAAAAATGGACAGGAAAGAAATTTCACTAAGAAACCGACAACACATAAACAGCATTCTTCTTGTAACTTTTCCTATCCTAACCAGTTTGCATTATCTTGCACACAGTGCCAATTGAAGCCAAGATAAATGTTTTGTGGAGGATCTCCTTTTCTTTGTTACCTGAGCCCAAACTAGCATCACGAAGTGAGTATCCTCCATAAGAATGATCAAGTCTCCTGGTGCTCAGTAACTTGGGTGGCTCCTCATCTGTTGGAGTCATCAGGTTGAAGATTAAAATAATGCAAACTTGACTATTAAACAAAGTGTATTTATCGAGTTCTTTTTTTTTTGCCATTGCTGGTATTTTTTCGGTAATGCATGAGGCACTTTATGGTCACATGTCCCTCAAGCGGGAAAATTCCAGGAGGCAAGTTACAGTGTCCGTTTTTTTCATTTCCACAGCCCTACATGAATCATCAGACTCAAGACTATCACATGCATCAATCAATATATTTGACACATAAAGTAATTTAAGTACATGGTGTAAAAGAGTCCATTTCAGACTATGATCCCAAAGAAGAGGCTTCCAGTAGAGAGCTACAGCAAAGTACTAAACCACATGTGCTTTGTTTTGTGAAATAGTCTGACTAATCCATCAGGATAGAAAATAAAGTAATCATACACCAATTCAAATAATCTCGAGCCTACTGCAGGCGTAGGGTGCCGGTAAAGTTGCAAGCTCTACGATCACATCTTGTGTTGGCAGCCTCAGGATTACACATTCAAGTTAATGCTAGTCCCATCGGTAACTTACAATCTAATGATCGACGATGACGCCTGGCTCTCTCGTAGTAGTCCTGCTCAAGCAGCAATGTTGCCTCAGATACTGCAATATTAGGAGCCAACCAATGGGTAAGGCACATGCAAAACGGTTAATGAAGCAATTAGTGATACATTACAAGGGTAAATTAAGACCACTTTAAGCGACTGTTGAATGTCACCTTTTTATCTTTGCTAATTTTTATATTGAAATGTTGCGTAAGAGTATTGTAGTCAAGTCCAGTTAAGTTATAGGGGACAAATAACAACAAAGAAAAGTCTTTGTCACACATCATTTGATTATTTTGTGCCTTGACTCAAGATTGTGATAAATCTGTTATCATAGACTCAACTACATTTGGTGAGAGGCTGCCTCCCACATGGCCGCATAAATAATAAATAATCATGAGTGATGATTCTGATATTTAAACATCATCATCTGACATCTATTCACCTGATTGGAATTCATCTTCCCGCCTTCCAAAAATTATGTCCCCTGTTGTGGGCGCGACGTCGTAGCTAGCACTCTTATTAAAGTTGGATTTGGAATAGCGCCGGGACAGCATTGCATCGGGGTGCTCATTTGTGGGGCGTGTCCACCAACGCCCATTAGAACCATACACAGCATCTATGGGGGTGGGGAGGGGGTGTGGTTAGATCATGCAGGGAGGAGGGTGAGGAAGCAGGAGAGGGTTACAGCGGTGGCACATGCTGATTGATCTTATTTTTGCATAGAACTCTGGATTAGATTTTGACCTGATTTCTTATCACTACACGTTGTATTTTAATAGACCGAAGTACACATTGATTTTAAACACACAGTTGTTGCAACATTTCTTATTTCTGCACTGCCATCTCTCCTGAATTCAACAGAATTAAAACAATACATAAGAACAAACTAGGGCTTGCTGAGACTTTTGTTTAAGAGCTCTGATTCACACAGATTTTCACTACTTTTTAAAGCATGTTACAATATCCATTAAAATAAAAGGCACCTCTTTTCATATAATCTAATGTGCTGGAATTGACCGATTAGCCTAAGATCAGGGAATTTGGTGTACAGTTGAAAGCAGCCTCGTTCTTCATCAAATGGCCGCATGTATGTAGCACTGCTGAAGCAAGCACTGATTCCCGACACTTTCAGGCTTGACCAGATTTAATATCTACTTGAGATGGCCAGATGTTCTCCTCACTCCGAAGCACATGACTGATTCTGCACAATGATGCACACTTGTTGGGTTTTTGTTGCCTCCAGGAGGATACCCTGTGCACAATCTCAGTTTAACCCTTCCCGCCTGGAGATTCAGCTTATTTTGCCCATACAAAAAGTGAAACCCACTCTACATGCTAGAATTCCTGAAACACTGGTCAACTGATGTTGGCGTACACGCACACGTATACTGCTCATTTTGGTCAGTCGTTACCATTAAGGCTGGACTCACTAAGCTAGTTCCGCGGCTTTGCTAACTCTGCATGAATTGAATACACAAATTCAATCCAGAAAAGGCTGACAAAGATTAGGAGGTAAATCTGTGTTTTAACAAAGTACAATAATTCTGACTGAATTCAAAACCAAAAATATGAGACTAATTAAAAACCTGCCCATATGCTTATTTGCTTTCATTTAAACAGTGAAGTTGCCAGTTTTCATAACTGCGCGTACATTACAAAGAATCTTTCTGTGAAGCTCTCGACTACATTGTGACAGTTTTGTGTTCCGCTCCTCTGATTTGCATCTTTGGTGTTGCAAAGTGAACGAGACTGATGGTATTCCATCCCAATTTACTCAGCCACTCTGCTAGTGCATGTATGTGAACCAGAGACACCGAGCACAGAAGCAAGGCATCACACCACTAGCATTTCCCAGGAAACGCCATTGCACCAGACTTACCTGCAGCGTGTCTATCGATGAGATAGATGACTTTCCTCTTGCAGATTTGTTGCTCTTCCTCAGGGAGGATCTGAATGATGTACGGCCACAGGGTCCTCTTTGCATTGGTGTCTAGAACAGGGAATAACTCCACTATCAAACCGTCCAAGTTCCTAGAAAGAATTGGGAAATAAGCAAACAAAACTATGAATCAGATTTCTATGAACATGTACATCTCTTTTCAGCTAGTTGAGTTAATTAACAAGTGTTGTAAATGTATAGCCTAGGTAAGTTATTATTACTTTCATTAAATACTTTCAAGTATTTGACATTGAAATGTGAAATAAACTAGTATGAGAAAGGATGATTGGTCCTTCTGTTGGCAAGATTATTTTCATGTTGCCAATGGAAACTATTACCTAGATTGCTAATCAATCACAGTGCTGTATTCCATTAATTTAGCCTGTCATTTGTTGTAACTTCTGTCTGAACTTGTTTTACACTAACATCTCAAGAAAGAAAATATGTTGGCCATCCTGCAAGAAAAAATACAATTCGTCATTTTTTTTGTCACACAGAATTTCAAGTGCATTTACCTGCACTGGTGATATTCCTGCAGGGCTCGTTTGACCATCTTCCTTTCCTGGCCAGTGAGATGATGTTCCATCTGTGTCCAGAGAAGATATAACAGTGGGTAGCACATTCTTGAGTATAGGTGCACCCTCAATGGCAAAGGAGACAGGTTGCGGTGGGGGGTTTCAACTGAGCTCATGCATACGCCCACCGCCCCCAAAAAAACCCTACATTCCAACATAATTTGATTTTCACGAACTCACTGCACCCTGCATTGAACGGACATAAACCTACCGGTATGCGCTCGAGCATGAATTCCTACCAAACGACCATCATTTCCATGTAAAGACATGCCCTTGCTTGCTCCTACTCAGAGCGGATTTGCCAGAGTTGTTGCACTCAGACTCAACACACATTACAAGGCGCAACCATAGACATGTCAATGTGTAACTTTGAGGAAAATGCCCTGTAAAGGATTTCCACTTTCGTAACACACATTGTAACATTTAAACACATTCCAGGGAATTGATTTTTAGTGTCACATCACTTCCATTACACTCATCCCAATGCTCGAGTGATTCTCACAGTGCTTGTTACGGAACTAATCCATAGAGGTTGAGTATGAGTGATGCCCTCAAGAAGCCTGAACCACAGCCACGCAGTTTAGCTTTGAAGCTTCAAAACAGTGATGACGTGGTAAGAAATGTCAAACAAATCTTGAGGAAGTGGTCATCTAGGGTAGGCATTTGAAAAGACCAACTTGCTAAAGGACCATGGTTGCAGGATCCTGTGGTTTCAAAAAAGGTCAGTATTTTGGGCACAAAATATTACATCCAGGACAAGTGCAACGCGAAACACTACCACTGACAAGCAGTCTGAGGACCAGTGGCAACAATGTTTCCCTTAGAAGACAACAAAAACTCTCACAGTTTTTATGTCTTCTGTCCTCAGTCTTGATGTAATATAATAGTACATTCAGCAACTACAGTTTAATCATATGAACTTCCGGCGATAATTAGTGAATCGGAAAAACGAGTTGTTGCTCACCATTTCTTTGAAGGTCCTGCCCACAGCGTAGAGGTCCTTCTGTGACATGGGGCCTGTCTTGACCTCCCCCAGCTCATCCACCGTGCCTTTACTCAGTGCAGACTCAGACAGCCAGTTGGAGAGGGAGGATACCTCGCTGGCAGTGGTCATGCTGCGAGTGGTCACGGAGGGAGCACTGGAGTAACCTGCTTGATGCAGTGAGAAGAATGAATAAAATTAGCTATTGGTGGAATTTGAACCAAGGACCTAATGAAGTACTGCACTGCTGCTCTGCTAACGTCTTTGACAGGTGTGTAGTGAGATTAGAAAAACTCTAAAATTCAATTTCAGAGTTGGGAAAGAAAATATACTGCCGGGGACTTCAACCGTCATTCTCTTTCTGGGTTGATAACTGAGTTAAATCATGACTCAAACTGGTTGTGTCCAACTTTTCTCAATGTCCAAGTAATTCCATCAGCACATTTACCCAGTTTGCCCAATTTGTCAATAGCATATCTTTATTATGAGAGCACAGGAAAACACACAATCCTAAAGTTTTTAACATTTTACATGTAACAATTAAGCATGATAATCCCAACAACAAATGGGCAAATTTCACAGAGCTAATAACTTACATACAAGAACTACTTCCATTAGCTTAACAGGGTACCAGCCAAATTCTGACCTTACATATACTGCTGTTAACTGGCTCCCTGAAAGGTTTTGCTCAGAAGAAACTTTTTAATTCACCATGCAATATTTCAGCAAAGTCTTGGAGAGGATTTGCTGATAAATCCCACAAGCCTGCTGACAAAAAAAAGGTTTTGCTCAGAAGAAACCTTTTAATTCACTATGCAATATTTCAGCAAAGTCTTGGAGAGGATTTGCTGATAAATCCCACAAGCCTGCTGACAAAAACTGTGACCATCTGCACGTAGAATGGACTGAAAATGAGCAGTTGAGTCTACATACCACTGGATGGCATGGGTGGTCCTGACTCAACGGCGATTGTGGGAGCACTCCCACTTCCCTTCAGCAGCAGGATAAGTTCATCGTGGCTCTTCTTCCGTACATCCAGCCCGTTGAGTCTGATGATACGGTCCCCTGCATGCAGCCCGGCCTTCTCGGCTGGCCCTCCTGGGTCGACCGATTCTATCATGACGGGACTGTGGCCAACCAGCATGAAACCAAAGGAGCCACTGCTGCGATCGATCTGAACGACCCTGAAGAGATGACAGTAAATGGTAGGTGAAGTTCAGTGTCAGGGAGAAAAGACTCAAAGAAAGACCTTAAACTGTACTTCCTCGACCATTTTTCCACGACGCCTTCCCAAGTTCTTAAAATATATCACTATGTAAATGTCAATCCTCACATAAAGAAACAATACCATTCAGAATTGAACAAAATCCTCTCAAACCTCCTGGCCAATTTTGAAAGCTCTAGCAAAGTTAAGCCTACATTGTAAAAGTCATCCAAAAAAAATTTTTAAATTCATTCAGAAGCCATTGCAGAGCTCAAGTTTCAATATCCTTTCGACCATCCATCCTTTTCTTTACACTGCATGCAATGTGCAGTTCATTGAAACCGTTTTCATCCACAATGGTTCTCTGACTCAAATTCATTTTGTTACTTTTTATAATATAATTTAACAAGTGCATATTATTCTGATATTTTTCTCTCAATCCACCAAGCATGTGCCTCAAGGCCCCAAAATCAATTATTTCTGACAATGTCAATTTTAAATATCAGTGAGTATGCAGATTATCTCTATACATTTTGGTCACTTGTACATGAACACTGTCATGATGCTACTGCTGAACAAAATTACTGATAGCTATAAGTACAAACCTTCTTCCCGACACTGGAGGATCTTTGCTGACGAGATAATCAAACCTTGCTCTATGCTTTGGCGGAACAAATATTCTGGAAACAAGAAAAGGAAATGGATATATATATGTTATTTTCAGCAACGGACTTACATTAAAATAGGTACAAATATTGAATGCTACTAAATAAAGTTAGTCAACTTTTTCAAAACTAAAGGATTTGTGAATATTTTTCTACTAAAAATGTAGAGATTAAGACTGAAAATCCCTCTGCTTTGAAATAAACACATTTTATCAGACCTTATTCAAAAGACATGCATATGCTAAGTAAGAAACACTGGGCATCCATTGTATTGCTTACGTGCAACACCCAATGTTAAAAGTTGAAAATTATTCATGTGTCGACCCGTTAATTCCATTTCTGGGTTCAGGGGCCAATTTCATAGAGCTGCTTAAGCACAAAATATGCTTAAGCACGAGAATTCCATACTTGATAAATCAGGTAACTATAGCCAAAACTCCATGTGATGTATATTGCTTTGGGATTGTATTTAGCTGTTTTTTGCTTAGCATGACAATCAGAAAGAGTTTGAGCTGGTTACCCTTTGTTTATTAAGCAAAGTTTTTCCCACTTAAGCAAATTTTATGCTTAAGCAGCTCTATGAAATTGGCCCCAGGATATAAATATCACAAATTGTGAGTACAAATTTTCAATCATTTCACTTTTGTCACTGCAGTTCCATTACTGTCTGAGGTATAGAATACAAGTGTAGCAATCTCATCTCTAAGTAATGACCGGGGCCAGGTTATGCATGTGGCTGCCACTAATGGACTGTCCCTTTGGCCTTTGGCTTCATTTATGAACAGCATATAACCCGCCCTCTTTGCCTATTAAAGACCGGGTGACGGCACTTCTTTCTTCATCACATTAACTGTCGAAAGGCAATCACCTGATGTCTTCAAATAACTGCCTCTGGGAGGGCGTGGTCAGTAGGGACGCCAGGGCACGCCCAAAGTTATCCACCCTCTTGTCCTTGGCATATTGCTTCAGAAGGGAAACTAGGACATCCTTCCTTAGATGATCATTGTAGAAGACACCATCCAACTACAATAAACAAGAACGAGAGGAATATATGAGTTATGCCACCATGCATCCAAAATTTTGGTGCAAACTGATTGACATGAAATACGCCCCATTTAATTTTGAATTTTCTTTGCCTCAAAAGAGTCACTACTTCATTCAATTTCTCCAGCTCCTGCATGTTGCTACAACCTTACTCAGCATAGTGACTGGGTTGCTGTTTTGACCGAAGTCATGAAAATTCAAACTTCATAAAAAAATAAGTTTAAATATGTTCTAAAATAATTACTGATAATTCCAAAAAGGTAACCATAAATGTTATGCCACACAAATGTCACTTTTAGCACTACTTAAAATATGCATATGCAAATATTTTTAACTGTGTATCTAATCATAATTTAGTCATATGGGGACGGAGGTGGAAATCCCATCATTTTAAAATGTGGGAAAGTAAACATTCCCTTTTCATTACCATCTTCAGAGCATAATGCACGCATGTCTTAGGTGGACTAATACAGCTAGAAAAAATTATGGGATTTCCCTGACATCTTCAATGCTTTCATATTTGCTGAGTTCTCTGACATGTTTACTTTATCTTATTGCAGTTGGAGTTTTGTAAAAGGAAATATTTTATGCATGTGGATATGTGTACAATATATGTAAACCTGATTCAATCCAATCTACAATGCCCTTGTTACAGGAAATGCTACTGACATTTTCACCTGTTCCTGGAATGGTCATGACGACAGATCCTCTGAAATAAACAAATTTTAAATTCATACATGTTCTGACAGCACCAGGCCCATGGTAATACGGTTCAGATGCTGAAGTCACTTAACTGTGACAGCCTATGGCATAAAATGGACAAACCGTCATCAGAACTTAATGACCAATCCTCAAATGGGCAATACAATGCATGCACATCACCAGCTGCTGCCACTGGTGCAGAGTTGCTATAGCAACAGCAGCAACTAGTTATTACTTGAGACCTGTCCACGTTTATTGAATCCTTTTGCTAATTTATTTGTGGTTTGGTAGCTTGCTTGGTACATGTAATTATCAAGCAGTTTGCTTACTGTAGGTTCCATTACGCACTCATTATGTTGATCAATACAAAAAAGTAGGTAATGTACATAAAATGATATAGAATCATATACATCCATTTACCTCACATAAGTTTAGTGTAATAGGAAATCAGCAGTGAAAAGTGCATTAAGTTACATGTAAAGGATTTTTTCCCAGATAAGCAGGGTTTATTTAAACCAAAAGTTTTGCTGGTAAACAATGAACAAAAACCTGGAAATTGTCAAAGCAAGGCTGAATTATGATTACCAACTTATTCATGTTTTAATAAAAGTATAGCAGTCGAGATGATATATCTATTATCAAACACACAGCACTATAATTTTTACCATTTTCAATTTACTGTAATATTCATAACTGAAGGTAGCACAGCCATTCTGGACTTGACCTATGAAACACAAATTTTCAAATTTTACGTAACATGATATGACGTCTGATATTGTTGCTGCCCAATAGTGGATGTGTCTGGACCATTCTTGAACAAAACAATCTCACGATATGTGAATATTTCATCAAATTCAACCAACATGGGTTTTTTTTTGGGGGGGGGGAGAGTTACGATTACACAGTACTTGCCCAGCCAGTAGGTTTAGAATAGCCAGTCATTTTTTGAAACACGTACTTTCTGACCAAAGTATGAAACAATTTCAAACAATCATCATTGTTCTTATTATTATTATTTGATTCTGGTAATGAAACCAAGGGTTCCCTAAAAGTGCCCACGGCAATGTGCACGTAGCTCGTAAGCCTCAGGTAACCTGTAGAGGAGACAATGAGATTGAGAAGCAGGTACATTTGTAGAGATGGGAGAAAAAATAGAGAGGGATATTTTGGGTGAACCCACAGCATCGGGTGGGAATAAAAATCCACAAGTGGACTGTGCGGGGAATTGCACAAAGGCTGCAAAGGTGGAAGGCAAGGAAAGAACCATTACAACTCCCCATGTCAGCACTGCCACTGTGAAAGAAAACAGACCTCAGTGACTGGTTCTAGCAGAGGGAGAGGAAGACAGACCTTTCATGGTTCTGCCATACAGGAATTGTCCTTTTGTTTGGCGTCCTGATCTGTTGTACAAGTACTTTTAAAATTTTCCTTCTTGTCACAGAGCTCTGTGTTCCCGTGCAACCAGTCAACGTGCAACTGATTATGGGCTTTTCACAGGTCTAAGGACAGAGAGCAGTCACTTCAAGGCCATGTCCTGCCCGAAGGCAGGCCAGGCCAACACATACACATGATACCAGAACTACCCAGTCTACCACCCACCCTGTGACCTTGGTGTACAGTAGCCATAGTGACGACTCCATCACTAAGGAAACCACTTTAATTCACTGTCTGCAGAGCCAGGTGAACCGTGAAGGCATGCCAACTATCTAGTACTCAACAGTGCACAACCATGTACAGTACATTGTAGGTACAGGCCTACATACATGTAAGCAGAACTGCTAGTATTACACATGAATTTGTTTGTCAATGTTACTAATGCCAATATGGCCACGATTTAGAATGTAGATATTTTAAAGTAGTTTTCTGGATACAATTATTGAAAAATAATTTCCGTTGACTTTAATTTCCATAAACTTAGCATTTAGAAAATGAAATAAGATGAGCTACATGTGGCCTACATGTATTTTGAAATTTGTCAAATCTTTCCTTTCCTTACTTGTGTTTTGCAGAAAGGGCACTGTCAAAATTCTGGCAAAGGAAGTAAGAATGCTTTTAAGAAGAAGAACATGAGTAATTTTATTTTGAACTAAACCCTTTTCTGAATTGTTATACGCATAACACGCATCATCATTTACATCACAGCGCACTCTATATTTGAGGAAGTTCTAAGTGTGGAATCCTTTGTCAAGAATACAGAATGGCCAAACAGGGGCAGAGCACACAGTAATAAATGCACATAAATTTAAATTCTCTCGATAGAGACTCCACTGAGGTGTTGCCTTTACAGAAGTGAGTCACAAAAAGCTTAACCTTCCTTCACTGATCAATAATCCCTATTGTGAAGTGTGCAATGGAGCATCCACACAATCAATAGTGCCCAGTGTTTACGCTATGGCAGTTCAGAGAATGAGGCTGGCTGGTGCAGCGCAACCTTATCAGCAAAGATGAAGTGTTCTACAGCAGAATTCTCTTGACAGATTTTGACAAACATCTTGTACATCTCGTGTAATGAAATTACACAAAATTCAGCAATGCAAATGGTTAAACACTGAGATGGTTAAACTTTGTCGCTGAACGAGAAACAACCCATTACAGTCTCACCACAAAGTTTTTAATGCGATACATGACTCATCAAAAGGCAGGGTTTGTCAGCTGCTAACGAAGAAAGTGCTCCACCCATTCTGTATCATCTTCAGCCCACAACCAAAAAAGTCCCTCATTGTCAATAAAGAGATTCTGCATGGCAGCCATCTTTCCGGTTTGTCGCGGAGGGATAGTACAAAAGGTCTACTCATGTATATCCCTGTGGAACAAAAGTGCTGACCAGAAAAATGAATGTCATGCAGAACTTAGTAAAAGGCAGCATCTCACTGTTTCCAGCTGTGGAGGATAATTTCTCTGGAAGATTTAAAAATGGTTGTAACACAAAACAACTTTTTGAAACAGAGATAATCAAACTTGTAGGCCCTATGTTAATGACAGCAGTGTTTACCCTGATGCCCTCACATTCTATCCAACCAATGCATTGTGGTAAACATTGTGATATGTCATCAGTACCATACATAAAAGTCTGTAAGATGGAGGATAGCAAGGATACTTTTAATAAGTGACAAGAGACAAGGAAGACCATCTCAATGACTCTTACAGGGTCAGATCCAGAAATTTTTCCAGAAAGGGGTGGGTGAGGCCAGAGATGTCTCCTTTTTGCGGACAAGTGGAAATTATGACGAAAAATTATACACATGACATGCATCGTTTATAATGCTATTGGTGCACTCACTTATTTTGTGAGATATTTTAAATATTTACCCCATGTTTTTACCTTTTTTTTGAGAGGGGATCTCAGAGCAGGAGGGATTGGATGCCCACATCAACACCTGCCTTAACCCTACATGTAACTCCCCAAGGTGTGTGCAAAATCATATTAAAATTGGACGATTCTGGACTGTTGAGGGTATAGAACTAGTACATGAATAAATTGAGCTGGCAAAAAGTGGCAGCATGTCTTTCACCAGAGAACAAGATGTACATGTAGATAGAGTGTATCCTAAAGTTACATTACATGTATTCACAAGCAAATGTTATCAGACAGTATGCTACCGGTATACTGAAAAAAGTCTGGCAGTTTTGGGGTTTTTTGTTATGAGTATGACCAACTGGGAAACTGTGAAGAAATTATGATGTTCTTACTAATTTGTTAAGCCAAAAGGGTTACTTTTGTTTTTAAAAGCTTGTGGTCCCAAGGGAAACAGAATTAATGTACATGTATTTGTGCACTCCAGATAGGACTTACATGTACGTCATAAACAGACTGGTTCATTAAATTCAGAAAGAGAAACATGTACCATTTGCAATGCATACATAAGAAAGGTACACGTAGCCTACAATTAATGTACGACAGACAACAAAAATCCCATAAGGACTAAACTGGCAAGACGTTTTGTTGTTTTTATCATTAAAAATTTCAACCAAAATGTACTTTCCAGTAGTATCCATCTTTACAAATACATGTACCAGTAACGTACATACCCCCATTGGACATGTTTTTTAAGCAGGGGTGTGAGTGGCCACATATGAAAAAAGGCTGAAAACAGCTAGCAAAGGCTGAAACATTTACAGTTTCTGTAATTTTATACATACTGTAGCAGGTATAAAAAATCTGAAAGTTAAGATGAAAATCTAGACCAAAAAAGGTGAAATCAGCTAAAAAGCTGAATTCTCACCCCCTATTTAAAGAAGGAAAAGTGAAATTCTGGCTCAAAAGTCCCTTTTCACTTACTGCAATCACACGTCAAATTTAAGATAATTGAAAGCGCTTATTTTTATTCTTTCTAAAAATCACTTTAAAAAAATCACATTTTGCATATGAGATGCAGGACTACAAATAGGGAAATGTGTCATACTGTATGCCTCACCTTTCTGAAGAAAGTCTCTGCCCTTGTTGACCTATCCCTCGCTTGTACCTCAAACTTCTGAGCCAGTTTCCGGACATTCTGGTGGCCAGCACCAGGTATGATCAGCATACGCAGTTTATTAGATCCCTGGACAAACACCTTGGTGTCATCAGAGTGCCTGATGGGTAATCCATTGATTTCTAGGATCATGTCTCCAGGCCTCAGCCCTCCCCGTGAGGCAGCACTGTGGGGCTGGACCACCTCGACATACACGGGTCCCGCTCCTACCACCGTCATACCAAATCGTCCTTTTGAATCGCGCACTATTTCGACGGTTTTGACGCAGGAAACCACGACAATGCTGGGGGGCACCGTGGGGCACTGTCGGGCCATGGCCTGAATATCTTGCGCTGTCCGTTGCGTGACATTGGTACCATTCAACTCCACCAACTGGTCCCCCGGCTGTAAACCAGCCGTATGGGCATGGCTGCTGGGCAAGACGGTGATGATGTAAGCAGGGGCATCTCCGGCTATCGTAAATCCAAAATCCTCAGGCCAGTGGCGGTTGTTGACCGGCATGGGCAGCGCTGGTCGCTTGTTGCTGTGAGAACGGCGTGAGGCTCCTGCATTTGTAGCCTGTTTGGAGGGCCGCCCTGCTGAACGGGCAGACTTGGCCGACCTTGACGATCGCCCAGACCGGGAGGTCTGAGCGTAAGTCTTGCTAGGCATTCTTGGGGAATTCCTGGCAGACCTACACAACAAAATAGGAAACAAGGAAACCAATTAACTCATTCTTAAAATCAATGTCATACATTCTTGCTAGAAGCATATTCATACAGGTAGCCTTACATTTTCCAATGACAGATGATACATGTACATGTGAGACACACTAGAGTTTAGCGGTGTTAGTTCTTCATCCTTTGTTAAACAGGAACATCACACAACTGGACGGTAGTCAGCATCTGTCTCCACCAACTGATGTCTTCATTCTGACAGTACCAAGTAAATCCAGTAACCTCCACAAAATCAAGAAACATATGAAACTCTTCCTTTTATCAACTTTCATCGAAAAGCAGTTGCGATCAACCACAACTAAATTTTCATGTCTAATTTACAACTAGTATTACTCCAGAAGACACCAAATCCAGACAGCCCGCATTTCGCATTCTGCTGATTTCCACACACTGCCTGCAAGCCTGAGGGTCAGTTCCTGGTGAACAGTTCTGCCCCCTGCAAAGAAAACCCAAATGTTGCCATGGCAGCCAATGTAGGTCTGGTCTCCCAATGTACCACTCGGTGCTGTTCACATTCCACAAGGAGGTGATATTTGGAAAGTGATTCACAAGCACACTGTAAAACAATACTTGTATTTTACGACACACAGACTTTCTCACCAGATGGCTTCAGCAACTGTAAGGCATTATTTCTTTGCATTTTCAAAGGACCAATAAAAAAGGCCTGAAGATTATCAAATGACTGAAACAGAGTGTCAGAATTAGATAAATAAATTTGGGTTCATGAATTCTTTTCTCTGTGTACAGTACTTGCAAAAGACTACTACAGTGGCAGTTGAAAAGTACAAATCTTTTTGTCCTAAAATATCACATTTAGCAGGGAAAATTCAGAAATATTTGGAATTTTTCACACCATTCTCATGAGGTTTGAGCAAAGACTGTCGAGTGATCTTCAAGTATGGTACTCTTTTCCTACATACCGGTGTGTACATACTGAGTGTTGAAACCTGTTAATTTATGCTGGATCACAAGTGGCAATTTCAAATTTATCACACAAGGATTGATGCTAACTCATTTTTCTCAGACCCAATGAAGACTGTGTTAATATGCATGTATTTTAACAACTTAACTGTTACAACTCGCCTGATAGTTCTTTTCAAAAACAAAATCTTTGAATGGACTAATCCCAACTAAAGTCTTTGACTAAAATCTCCATGCAATTTTAGGGATGCACTGAACAATTCAAGATTTTTCTCTCAAATTTTAACCCTCCCCCCCCAAAAAATAAGAGTTACCAATATCATGAAATGTGATTCCTGACAAGGTCAAATGGTAAAATTTATGGGGGGAATTGATGGCAAGGTTCCAAGGGTTGACCGCAAGAAAGGTGCTTCAACTTCAAGGGTCACACTGCAAGTCATGTGGGACAGGTTCTTCAGAAATATGCCACTGTATCAGCAGGAAAGACAAAACTTCTACAATGGCAATATGTTTAGATGTCAATTATTACTGGTTTGCTTAAAGGAGGTAGCACAGAAACCCTTATAGATAAGATGTAACTAAATGCATATGACATGATAAATATGCCAACAAAAACCATTAAAAGAGATAATTACATATCGAGAGGACAAGCTGCGTGAAAAATGTGAATATACCTCAGAATATCGGCATAAAATCCTCATAATCGAATTCGATTTTTTTGTGAAAGTGCAACTCACAACTCTGACACCATAAGCATCATATTACTAATTCACCATAAGTGGAATAAAGTGTCTTTGGTTACTATTAATTTAGTTAGCTCATGGTTAGCTTGACACAAGTTACATTCACAGCAAGAAAAACTGCAATTTTAAGAAAATAAAATTACAATCTTTACAACTATTTTAAGTAACCCTACCATGCAATACTTTCATGTATCACCTCCATCTGACTCTCGCCATCATCACCGCTGATCATTTTTTTTACCATGACCATTCCAACATTGATTATTTAAATGTTCACATGTGTATGATGTTGCAGTGGTCTGTATTTGTAAATATTAATGTTTGTTGTATTTGTCAATTTTACTTTTCATCATGAGTTTCTAACTTTTGTATTAATTTATGTTCGCAGGGCCAAAATGGAAACCAGTTTGAAACTGTTTGGGCATAAAGAAATGGAATAAATAAATAAACTAGCCACCAGCCAAGGCCACAGAGAAAACACCATTTTTGTCATAACTGTTCATATCCTATGATTATTTTACCTTCATTCACAAGAACACATAATATCAACAAAATGCTGAGGAAGAAACCTGTTATCCCCTTTTTCATTATCATATGTATGTTTCATTCCTTTCAATTGGTCGAACACGAGCAGGTGTTCCGTCGTGATCGTGATCAGCTCTCTTCGAAGTCAATACTATTCTTTGTGAAACAAAATTGCCATAATAGTTACAACCGGAATAAATCACGTGCATTCAGTGTTATTTGAAGATAGTAAAACTATAAAATCGGCTGCAACTTACCCAGTTTAGGACAAATTCATGTGTATAATTCCACTACAACATTCGTGAATTCCACCTGCTCGCACAGGAATTTCGATTTCCACAAGAAAGCAGCGTATTGAGGCCACACATGCGGTTCAATGGGCCTATTGTATTTTGAAATGAATAATGCATGATTTACCTTAGGAGCAGGGTGATTGGCTCTCACTTAGTCACGGCGTCCGTTGGTCGGTCACGTGGTGCCAATCCTTTCACTGGCTGTCAGTTGGAAAATAATGCTTCGCAGTTCGATAAAAAGACACGATGACCGTCACGGTGACGACGTTGCCGGAGCAAGCGTCGAAGTTGGCAGGTAACCAGATACCAGTGACATTAATAGGTACTGGAAATTGGGGGTGGTGGGAGGTGCGGGGGAGGGGAGATTTGAAGGGAAATTTGAAGGGGGGGGCTCACCATATAGAGCATATAGAGGGCGATGTTCAAGATAACCATGTACATCTACAATGTGTATCAAATTCATGTTGAATCTTACATCAGAGTATTATGGCTTTTTAAAACTGTCTCCCCTTTCTAGCGATATTGCAAACACTTTGGTCATCGGGAAATCCTGATTATTGTTCACAATCTGCTGTAATTTTTTTGCTCATCACAAAAAAGTGCAGGGTTTTATTCAGTAGCCCATCCCCTGAATTTACGCCCATGCCAGATACCTTTTCCACGATGGAAGGCTCGGTGGATAAATCAATATTTAAAACAATGACTTCCTCAGGATTATTTTCCCATGACAAACTCGACCAGCATTTTGAATGAACTTCGAAAATTTTTGCATGCCCCCAAGGGCGTCGCCGGGGGGGGTGAAAAAGAAAAATGGAAATATATAAGAAAAACAAAACGAAAGAATGAAAGCTGGGAAAAATCATCAATTTGCTTTTTTAAAAAAATCAAATCGATCCCCTCCCATTGTTAGTACGGGCGATTCATAATAGTGCGCCTCCTTGGGTCGACAGATTTCGCGTACTGTGATTGGCCAACGCGTTGCAAACTCTTGGAGGGGCGATATTGTGAAACGCTCGTATTGTTTATCATTTCTTAGCTTTGCCCCCTGGAAACAGTGTTTTACAGCCCTTCCGGAAAAAAATCCTGGCAATGCCCCTCGGTTAGCCAATCACAATACGCAAAATCTGGCGACCCAGTGCAGAAAGGGTCGACAGATTTCACCTGTGGCAAGAAAGGTGTACGTAGGTTTCTTCACTCTCCAGAGACCAACCATTACATGTGCATCCTGGTTAAACTTCGAATTCCTCAACGGTCCTTTTCAGGGCCATACTTCTTCAGGAGAAATCCCCTACATGGTGAATCTGTAAGCCTCTTTCAATTCAGCCACCATTTTTAAAGTAACTACATGCAGATGTATTGATAATCATAATTGTTTTGAATCATACACTTGAAACGTACGAAGCCTAACAGTGTGGTATATATATCACCCTATTTAGTGGGGATGGGATATGGACCCCCCCCACACACACACACACCCACATTTCGGTGGCCGAGCAAAACTTAATGCGGCTTGTGAAGAATTTTTCAGAGTTTTGAACCACTAAGTATCATTCAAAAAGGGGAAAGCAATAAAACAGAGCCATGAATAAGCCGTTCTGATGTAAGATTCAGCA